GTACCCTGTATCAAGATTGATGCAAAACAAGTGACATTTGACCTTTTTAGAGAGGTTTAGCCAAAACCACCCCACCTCTGAGGTGATTTGGGTGAAAATGTTTTTTTTCCATATCTCTGGCCCCCCTTGGTCGATTTTGATGTTTGACACACCCTTCTGACCGTTAGAGCCAATAGAATCGAAGGGGGGGGGGCCACACACACACTCATTGTAAAGAGAAAAGGTGGGGGCTGCGCGTCTGGAAATCTAGGTTAGAGGGGAGCGATCTTTCCTTCTGGAATTTGGAAACTAAAAAGCAGTTTTATTGCTTATGGATTATCAGAAATAATTTCAAAGAAGGCACAGATACATAGGATGAACCTATGGATTAACTGCAGCATCGTTTTTTTATCGTTTTAATGCCATTGAAGACCAGTTTTGACCAAGGTAAGCCATGTTAGCGTTTCTAGCTACTTAGCTCCACATGTTATGATGTACGCTTTCGTTTATAGCGTCGCAAATGTTTATCACTGAGTGTTGAGGAGGGCACCATTAGATTCAGTGTCTCCAGGACACCAAAAACGAGTGGTTGGCTGTGCATCTAGGATAAGTAATAAGGGAGTTATGAGTGAGTTTAAGTGCCGTTTTAGGTTAAATTTTTTCGCTCGTGGCTAATTCAGAGGCTGAGTGCTAGCATTGTGGTTTTTTTTTTGGAAAAAAAAATTAAAAAGATCAGTTAGCTGAGTTTTTTCCCGTTACATGGATATAAAACATTCATAGTTTATTAAATATTAACATTCCTTAGACGTTGTTTCCTGCAAATAACGCGTTTTTCCGCCCGGTACCGGGCGGGCTGTGCGTAACAGGTTAAAAACATTTTAGAAGGCCTCACGAAATACTTTATAGGGGACCTATCATGCAAAATGCACTTTTGTACGTCTTTTATACATGAATATGTGTCCCCGGTGTGTCAGGGAACTCACCAAGTGTCAGAAAACACAACTCTCTCTCTTTTCCTCCATACCCAAATCTCTAAAAACGGGGCTGCAACGGATCTGATACAGATTTGAAATATCTCTGACGTCAGAAACGAGGAGCTCCGCCTATATGGGCAACTCTCCACCTATCAGGAGGAGACAGCCACGGCCATTGCCGTTCCAAAGCGTTGGAGACGCTGTAGTACATATGCCAGGCCTGTAGGTGGCGCTGTAGTCTGTCACAAAAGCAGCGAAGAAGACTTCTCACAGATTCAGCCCTTGCAAAAACAGGGCTAAAAAAGAGCAAATAGAGCGAAATGAGGCATGGCTAAAATGCATGATCTGTTTGATATTTTGAAAACAAAATCCACTTTAATGTAAATTAAACATAAACAATACCGGAAACAGACGTAGGCAAGATCCTCAGCTCGGTGATTGGATGTTTTAGCTGCAATGCACGTTGGGATATGGTGTTTATGCGATGTGAAATCCGAAAACATTTTTTTTAAATAAAATAATACTTCATTCCATATTTCTCTACTGGTTGGGCCATGTTAACAATACCGTGTAACTGTCACGTTTGAAGGGACGAAATCGTGACATCTTCACGTCTCCCAGCATGTTCACGTCTTGCCGTGATACCGGGTTGTATAATGGCAACTTGCAAATGTACAGAGGCACAAAGCAGGAAACTTTTTCACAAACACAATGCAAAAACTGTTTAAGCTTTGGAGCATTTGGAGGAGATAACATGAAACCATTTCACATTTAATTCCAGAGTGGGACACTTTTTAAATGAACAATAGTTTAATAAAACACAAAAGTGGGTGGTTAACTTGATTTGAATGAATAGCTGCATTTCGAGTCATTACAGAGCATTGAATGAGGAACTAATTCCAAAATAACCCTAACTTGAAGGACCCCAGTTGAAGATATTTTTAATGAATAATAGTTTAATCAAACACAGATTGGGTGGTTAACTTGTTTTCATCCTTTATCAGAAATGTAAAAACTTTGAGGGAACGTGTTAACCTTTATGTCATGGAAGAAGTTTCCTTCATAATATAGTGGGAATGCTGATACAGCATTCCAACTATATGTTATGCTACGGACAAAAAGTTTATTATTATTATTCAGCCGATTTATTTTGGCCCTCTTCTCCTCCCACATTCAACATCGCACAAACTCCGTTCAAACATCAAAACGTTCAGCTCGGTCGGGAATCGCAGGCTATTACTTTTCTCATTCATAACTTTCATAATTCCAGAGATACATCCAATAATTCATCAAATTTGTAACCATTGAAGTCAATGGAGATATTCTTCAGACTTCAACAAATCTTCATGCGACTTCAACTGCTAACTGTTCATTCATACTTTCACTCAGAAACCTCATTCCAACTTTAAAACGTTACACATCTTTCTGACATTATTCGTGTAACACAACTTTTAAATTAACATTAACTAGAGTGCGTGATGTCACAGCTAGAGTGGAGCAAATCTTGAAATTTGCCTTCATATATTTTTTTAAAACTGCCATAATTCCCAAACCCTACATTCCTGAGACATAATTTGTCATGACAAACGTGGGAAAACACTTCGTAGCTTGAAAAATGACAAATAATTAAACAAAATGCCTCTTGAGGGCATGAAGTGACAAAAACGTTCAACATGTCTCCATTAAAACCCATTGTAATTTCAGGCTGATATTTCCTCACAGCAGCAGCCGCACACCTTTAGTTAAACTGCCAAAAAGGCCACATTATTAACCCGAAAGTACACAAAAATTACACTTCAGATACTCAACTTCCTTGACATGCTTCACATTTTGAAATTTCACAGATATCTGTTATCGTTCTTCCACAAAACGTTCACATGTAAGAGGTGTATCTGAACAATGCAAACCTCAACTCAACTATAAACACCTGTGTAATGGAACACGATGATGTCATCACTCCAACTGACAGCAGTCAGTTCTAACTGTTCATTTCATTCTCTCTCTCTCTCTCTCTCTCTCTCTCTCTCTCTCTCTCTCTCTCTCTCTCTGCCACACACACACAGACACACACACACTCTCTCTCTCTCTCTCTCTTGCCATGGCGACAGACCACTCGCCATGAAACACGATGTACGCTGTAAGTCCAATGGACACGGTCCAATCGTCCCCCAATCTTCGCTTGTATATCACCGGTCCAGCCCTCAACAGCTCTACGTCAATTATGGGGTTTCTTCAAATGCCGTTGCCATGGCAACACAATGCTCGCCATGAAACACGGTTTTCTCATAACTTCAGTGAACATTTTCCAAACGGCCCAAAACTTCACAGGTTTGGTAACGATGTAGCCATCAACGCATCTAAGCGTATTATGGGGTGTCATCAAATGCCGTTGCCATGGCGACAGATCATTCGCCATCAAGTTAGTTCAAAAGTTTGCAGTTCAAATATTCTGCCGCTTTTCCAAGCTTTTTTACTTTCTTTTCTTCACTCATCACACATTCAAGCCCCCAGTGTTCATGTATCATTTCAATCTAAATTCTTCACTTTCTTCTTACACATTACATTTCAGCATAGCAGTTTAGCGTCAGCTTTTCAGCATAAAGCATTCCCACTAGCAATTTCTTCAGGAATTGCATTCTCTAGTTCTCGTTTATTCTTCTTTCTAGTAGCATCCCTCGTAGCTAGAGTATATTTGACCGATTTTAAAATCAAACAGAAAACCTAGAGCCCTGGTTCAGTGTCTTTGGACACTGCCATGTCTGCTGGCGACCTCTGGTGGGTAAAAAGATACATCAGTGCAATGATGATATATATTCTACTGTATGTTAATGTTATTATGTTAGTGGAAGACTGTAAGTAAACTCACACACTGAAGGAGAGGGGAAGTCCTCATATCCCTTCAAAGCACAGGAATAACTGTCTGCTGAGTCATAACGGAAGCTTGCATAAAGAGATGTATTTTCCTTCATTTCCTGTCTGTTCTTAGACCAGATGAAGGAAGTATGACCAGATGGACAACTGCTGAGACACTGAAGGCGAGTAGACGTTCCTGATCTGCTCACCTCTACCTGGAGATCTGAATAAAGGTACAAATATATTAAAAAAAGATCAATAATGTTCATGTATCAAAATAAAACGTTAAATGTTTTAAGAGTACAATTTCAGATACCTGTGAGGGACAAAGTGACTGGAATACCGAAGCGTGCAGGTTTGTTTTCGATCATGAACCTGTACTCAGCTGAGTCGCTCTCTCTCAGGTTTCTGATTCTCAGAGTGCAGATGTTGTTTTCACAGAGATCCTCTACACGACCTGAATACTCTGAGACTGTGGTCAGATCTACAGGTTCACCATCTTTCTGTTTAGTGAACCAGAATGTTTTCTCCACTGTGATAACTCTGCCTCTCCATGTAGATGGGAATCTGTAGCTGCATCTTATCTCCACTGTTGATTTTTTAGATTCCTGTAAACTGGCAGCCAATAACAAATCTTTATTTATCTTTTCTACATCAATGACCCCACACATTCTTCTCCTTTTATTACAAGGCTTAGTTGAAAACTTGATTCTGATTGGTGAATTTGGACATTTCAGAGGCTGTTAATACTCGCTAACAGAACGCTGCTAAGGATAACATGACTGCTGTTAAGGAGGATCAAGGGACTATGTGCAGTCATATCAATCCGCAGAAAGAAGTCTGGTCGATTTAACGTCAGCCGTGGACAGCAAACATTTTCTCCATCATAAAACACAGAGTACTTTTTGAATAGTCATATTTATATTTGTTGAGAGCACTGGCCAGTTAAAGAAACTGTGAACAGTTACTTTGACATATTTTGTAAACGCTTGTAACACTTAACATGTTTGGCTTATTGCAAGCTAATGTGCTTGTAGGATACTTTTTTTATCTTTATGGTTGTCTGCACTTATTGTTAGTCGCTTGTATGAAAATGAAATTGATGTAATGAACTTCAGAAGACCTCGGTGACTCCAGTATGTCTGAATTTGTCATTGTATTGTAATGTCAGTGTGTATTTATTAGTAAACTCACACACTGGAGGAGAGGGGAAGTCTTCATGTCCTTCCAAAGCACAAGAGATGTTGTCTCTGGGCTGAAACAAGCCTTTATAAGAAGATATCACCGTTGCTTTGATTTTCTTTCCGTTCTTGAACCAGACGTAGTTCAGAGAACCAGCTGGACTGCAGCTGCTGTGACACTTCAGCTCTGCCTCAGTAGAATAGTTGTAGACCTTTGCTCTGATCACCTGCACCTGGAGAGCTGGACGTTAGAACAAGAAACATTAGTATAGCAAAAGGTATTTTTTTATATAGATGTGCATACACATTAACACAACTGTGTATTGCTATTTGGAAATAAAGAGCAATAATAACTCTTCATCCAATAGTCATTACACAAACATAAACCTTTCCAGTATTTGTAGGTGTACTGTGTATTTACATCAGTGTGTGTTGATCAGTACCTGTGACAGTCAGAGTTGTTCCAGGTAAATCACTCCCCCATTCAAAGCTTGATGTTTTGAATTTGAAGAGATACTGAGCTGAATCTGAGTCTCTCAGGTCAGAGATCCTCAGAGTGGAGCGTCCTCTCTCTGTTTCAAGGATCTGAACACGACCTGCATACTGGGGGTCTTCACTAAGGTCCTCAGGTTGAGAGGGATTCTGTCCCTGATGAATACGCTCAGGTCTGAACCAGAATTTAGATTTTACATTTTCAAAACTGCTGTACGAGCAGGAAATGTCCACTGATGATCCTTTGAAGGTGCAGATACTTCTCTCAGTGTAAGTCACTCTGTTGCAGTTTTGACCTCTGACACCTGAAAAATAAAAACATATATTTTTGGAGTGGAACAGGAGTCAAATATTACCAATAGAGTTCAATATAAAACGCCACTAGATGTTTATACAGTATATTAATAGAAGTCTTTGCAGTACACTCACATACTGGAGGGGAGGGGAAATCCTCATATCCCTTCAAAGCACAGGAATAACTGTCTGCCTTGTGTGTTTTCTTTGTATAATCAGATGCTTCTCCCTGAATTTTTTGTCCATTCTTGTACCAGATGTAGGAAGGATAACAAGATGGAGGATAACTGATCCGACAAAACAGCCAGTATGATTCTGATGTGACCTGGAGATCTGGATTTGTGAAGGAACATACATGTTATTTAAGACAAAAACTATTAAAACACATGCATATTATTATTATTATTATTATATCCAAAACATTAAGAAATAATTAACATATCATTGAAAGTTGTTACTTGTGACGGACAAAGTGACGCCAGTCGAATCACCAAATTGTCCATCTGGTTGGTTTGCTATGATCCTGAACCAGTACTCAGTTGAGTCGCTCTCTCTCAGGTTTCTGATTCTCAGAGTGCAGGTGTTGTTTTCACAGAGATCCTCTACACGACCTGCATACTCTGAGACTGTGGTCAGATCTACAGGTTCACCACCTTTCTGTTCAGTGAACCAGCATGTTTTCTCCACTGTGATAACACTGCCTCTCCATGGAGATGGGTATGTGAAGCTGCATCTTATCTCCACTGTTGATCCTTTCACTGCACAGATCTCAGTAGAAGAGTAAGTCACTCCCCAGTCATTCTGACCCTGAGCCGCTGAAACACAGAGCACATCAGAAACTAGAATCAAAGTTAATGACTTAAGTTAACAATTAATTAATAAGAATCAGTGAATCAAACTATAAATGTGTTATTGGGGTTAATGAAACCAGAACAAGCTTCAAGATCAAATTATCAGCAGATTCAATTTCCTGAACATGAATCTAACTAGAGCTGATCTGAAAATAAGAATCGTTTCATGTATTTATCATAGTTGAGTTTCTAAAATAAAAATAAATATATACATTTTACACACTAGAGAAGAGGAGCACATGTACGTCACCTGTTAATTCCTTTTAAGGCAGTTTATAACTGCTGCAAATGCTATTTTATGACTTTGTTGTTTCTAAATTAAACCGGGTAGAACAGAAGTCCAAACACAAGCAGTCAACATGCCAGCATGAACATTACAAGATTAGGAATATTATTAGTTATACATGTCTTTGCTTTTCTGGTCCAGTTCCCTCTCTGTTCGCTCTGTGGTCAGGTTGCTGCTGAGGTAAGTGTGACAAATAACAATAAATGCAGAGCACTGAGGTGTGAGCAGCTTCTGTCGGATATACAGATGAGAAAAAGAAGAAGACTGCTTTTAACTCAGAGGGAGGAAAATTAACACTGAGGTCAGAGAGGAGAGAAGGAACTAGAAGGGTTAGGGTTAGGGTTAGGTTAGGGTTAGGGTTAGGGTTAGGGGTTAGGGTTAGGGGCTAGCCCTTGGTGCAGATGTATGATCGATAAGAGTTGAGTCAATATGTTATGACTTAGAATAAGAATATCCCTTTAAATCACTTAAAGGTGGGGTAGGTAAGTTTGAGAAACCGGCTCGAGATACACCTTTTGTTATATTCCATGGAATGCTCTTAACATCCCGATAGCAATGAATATCTTAAGTGCTTTGACAAAAAATCCATAAAAATATATCATCTGTGGAAGCCGTAGTACTGTAAAAAGTACGACCAATCATTTTAGCCGGCCCGGCTAAAACAACTGGATGGCCTACCTGCCTGTCAGCCTTCCATCTGTGCACAAACTTATTTCGTGCCCTCATTGGTCATGTGCGCGTTCGTGTGTGTTGGAGGAGGGGCTCTGTAAGGAAGTGGCAGATTTTTTCCGGTTGTGTATTTTCAAATTCTAGCTGGTTTCTCAAATTACCTACCCCACCTTTAAACTTAAAGGTCCCATGTCATGGCCATTTCTACTGATCATAATTCCATTGTTGAGGTCTACTAAAATAGATTTATATTGTGCAATTTTCCAAACTCACATTGGTTTCTCATACAGCATCTCTGTATAGTATGTGTATTCACTCTCTGTCCTAAACGGCTTGTTGGAGCTCCTGCCCCCCCCCTCCCTATGAGCCCAGTGGCCGTCTGCAAGACAGCGAGACACAGCGAAACCCAACCCGAAACCAGCCCGAACACACATACCGACTCACAGCCTCGCCGCGTCCCGCCGTCTCAGGGAGGAGAAATCGGCGGAGCTGCAGCTGAGAAAAGATTGAGTGTGTGTGTGTGAGGAAGTCCGCGGATTGGTCCATTTGGACCAATCCACGGACTTAGCGTAACGGCTCCGCGGACGTAACTTAACGGCTCCACGGATTGGTCAATTTCGACCAATGGGTCCATTTGGGTATGGGCACGTCACTGTACCCAGGAAGAAAAAGAGAAATCTCCAACGAGGCGTTCTGGGGCAGCATAGACAGGTCTTTTCTGTGTTAGAGTTTTACTCGCTACAGGGTGTACTTTGAGGGTTTGTGACTCTGCAGACCGTTTACATGCAGAAAAAGCTTCATAACACACAAGGGGACGGGTAATACCCAGAAAAGCATGACCTGGGACCTTTAATAAAAACAGAGCTGGCGATTCTTGAAGTCGTCTTAAGAAAAAAACAAAACAACATTTTTTCACAGAGAGAGGATGGAACAGTTATGCATACACTATATTCTCTTGTTAACGCTTGTAAAGGTGATAAGCAAACTGATATTGCATGCAGATGATTGGAGCAAAGGACAGTGGCAACGCACAACAAGATCTTCAGAATATCCATCAAAAAAACTAGTAACGTCTTTGAGTTTCTACAATTCTACACAAATACATTTAAAATGTTTCTGCTAGGTTTGCCTTTTACACAAATCCATCCCACTTATTCCCACATGTGACCTGATTTCACAAGTCCCACATTTTCCCAGAATCCCCTCTGTTCATGTGATGAATGTAAGTGTAGATGTACAGTACCTGACACAGAGAGCAGGAAGACAACTAATCCACTCGCTGCTGCAGTTAAACTCATAGCTGCTCCTCTCATCTCTGTGAGACTATAAAACATGTCAGATTAAATAATGTTCACAGGAGGTATACAGAATCATTACATCAAGAAACTGTTTCTACTTACAGTGAAGGAGGAACCATGTGTTCAAAGATGCCTTTCCTCTGTCGCCAATGAGCAGAATACGGATATCAGGCTGTTAACAACCACATTTACTTCCTGTTTAGATTGTTAAAAGGCAGGATGAGCCAAACCCCAGTAACACCCACTACACAGGAAAGACATGTTGTTTAACGAAATACAAACTTAAAGAGAGGTTCTTCCTATACCACTGAATCCAGAGAATAGCATTCAGATGAAGAAGAGAATAACAGTTTATCTCTATAGGTGCGTTCACACCGGAGTACTTTGGTGTACTTTTCCCACAATAGTTCATCAGAACTACGATATATTTGCGTTCACACCAAAAAGCCCCAGGAACTAAAGTAGCTCAAATGAGTTCTTCCGACCCGCTTTTCAGTCCCTGCTAGAGAGCAGGGACTGTTGTGGGAGAAAATAGTTCGTACGTCTGATTGGCTGTGCGGAATGCAAACCACGCCCGTTTGACTGAATTTTTTTTTGGAAGCGGCCATTGTATTTGCTCGCTTACCCGAAGAGATTACTTTTGTGAAAGCAGTTATTATAGCAACACTAAATAAATCATCGGAGCGGTGGAATTGATGAGGATGTCTCGGCGCTTCTGGCGATTTACTCGGAGGACGCGAAGTGCGGCATTCAGAAGCTTCTACTGAATGCAGTTTCAGTGGATCAGCAAAGTTAGCAGACCTGGCAAAGTCATGTCGTGACGACTACGAAGGTAAAATAAAATACATGCACTGCACTGTTTTAATCTGCACAATACTGGTCTTAGATGTACTTTTATTTGCTCAGTAGATCGAGCTAGCCATGCTAGAACTTGCTAACGTTAGGTCCAAGCTGGCTAACAACATCTAGCTAGCTAGCTATTCTCAGCCGTGCCCGCTATGAACACGTTTTGACTTGTGAATAAGTGTGCAATGTTCTGTAATTTGCTTCACTAACTCATGGCACTAATCGTGTGTTTCAGGCGAGGTGTTTCTCTCAGGATTAGAAACTAGTTTTCCCCTCCGGGATAAAACGATAATATAACGTTAGCAATTAGCATGCTAGCTGGACATAATGCTACCTCTGTGGCTACACTGAATGCATAGAGGTAAACAATAGATTGTAGTTGCTATAATTTCAAGTAATTTGCAACATTCATTCTACATGTTAATGGTAAAAGCTTAAACAGTTGATTACCTGCATGCCACAAAGACTGATGTTCTAATATTTTTGCACATTTAAGTAGAAATGTAATTGAAATTCTATTTACTGCCTAAACATTGTTCCTTGTCATAGTATTATCCTAAATAGTTTGACCTTGTTTCCTCAGAAGGCTTCTCAGACTACATGGAGGATCCCTCAGAGAAACACAGTTTCCACGTTCAGTTCCCCCCCGCTGAGAGTAGGCAGCTCCACACCCTGTGCCCGGTCAGCGGACACCATCAGGACTACTATCTGATCACAGAGGATCCCATCCTGACCGCTGCTGCCATACTGCAGCAAACAGGAGGGAACGGAGGTGAAAACACACTTTATACATTTAGATATGTGGAGCACAAAGAAAAGCATTGCTAAAAAACATTTAGCAGCTAAACTGTGGATAACAAGTAAACCACATTGGTTTGTTATTCAATATTCAAAAGCTTTTTGAATCATTACATGTCACTTGTTAGATGCTTTTATCCAAAGCTTACATACTCAATACTGGGCAATCCCCACAGGAGCACTTTGGGGTGAAGTGTCTCAGGGACACAACGACATGCTGACTGCAGTGGGGTTTGAACCTGTGCTCCCCTGATCCGAACACCAATGCACTTATCCACTGCGCAACACGCCTCCCTATCATGTCCTGAGAGCCCTCCATCCCCCAATTGCTAGTGCCTTCACCATTTAAAATGTTAATAGTCAAATCAAAGGTATTCCCCGTGTTCCTCCTGTTGTGTGCCTGCAGAGACAGACTCAGAGGTGGAGATCGCCCACAGTGATGACTCTGACGTGGGGGGGCTCTCTGTTATGGGTTGCTCCCCCTCCGGTATTTGGACAATGTTGTCTCGTTGTTGCGATTAAACTGATCTTGTATCTTGCATATTTCACCTTAGGAAAGTGGGCACGCGATGACAGCTTCCTTGACACCATCATGGCGATGGACCGCCGTGCCATGGTCAGCAAGGAGAATGAGGACCTGTGTGCCAAGGAGATGCACGACGAACGGCTGCTGCATTCACACAAGGCCCAGGAATCGAGGTGGAGCAACAAAATACCTTTCAGGCTGGGCTTCTGGCAGTGCTAAGCGAGCTGATTAAATCCAACAGGCCTTCAATACAAAAATTAAGAAAAACTTGTCATTGATAAACTGTACAATGACTTGTTGGGAGGCGTGTGGTGCAGTGGTCTGGTGCACAGGTTCAAACCCCACTGCAGTCAGGATGTCGTTGTGTCCCTGGGCAAGACACTTCACCCCAAATTGCCTACACCTGGGACAGTTAATTTTGTATTATTGTGATTATATATATATATATATGCCACTGTTATTAATACTGACACCTAACTTTGCACTAAGGTGTGTCTGCTGCTGAGCCTACCTATTGTTATTATATATATATATATATATATTGCCACTGTTATTATATTGTGTTGATACTACTGACACTTATTGATCTGCTGCTGATAAATAAAAGAGAACCTACATGCACGGCACTAGCATCATGACTGTCTTTGTTTAAACCAGCAGCAGTGCACAGACTAACCTGTGTGTGTGTAACGTAGTTCTTCAGGTGTGTATGCTTAACATGTATGTATTTATCACAGTAAAGATGGTATACAACAGTTTTTAACCTCATCCCATTGTCTTTAACACACATTTAACATAATAATATACTCATTAATATACAAATATACAGTATGAGTACTGTTTTGATACTGACATTTAATCTTTGCACTAAGGTGTGTCTGCACTATTGTAATTGTGTCTGTTGACTGGTAAATAAAAGAGAAAACCAAATGCACTACAAAAGATCAGCTTTATTGTCAATTTACAATTTCCATGCTGTTCAGATGCCTCTCCCCAACGTTGCTTCCAGGCGAATACAGAAGAGATGAAAAGAGCCCTTGGACATTCGGAAATCTTTGATCCACTGCACGTTGGCACCACCTCCCACCAAGCCGATGTTCTATTGTTCACCCAGAGAGAGCGTGGGACACGACGCGTTCCGTAGTATTCGCATATCTGGAAACACATACAAAGACACAAATTAGCCCTACATAACTCCATAAATCCAACATTAGATAGTATTAATGTAATTTAATGAACGTACCATTGCTGTTCTTTGGGCGTGACAACGATCATCATGCTCAGCTCTCCTACGGCGAAACATGTCCATAGCGTGTGCTTTTCGTGGTCCAATCCTTTTATTTTAATCCTCCGACTCAGCATTTCTATTGCATTTGAATGGTCTATTTGTATTTGTGGTTATTGGCTTAAATAACTCAGTTACGAAGCTGTATAACACGACCACCAAAACGTCAACTCCATACCGTGCCTGAGGTCGGAAGGTAAACAGAAGCATACAGCGGAAGCGGACGTTTTTTTTCTTCTTCTTCTCTCGGTTTTTTGGCGAATTGCAACTTTAAGGTGCATACCGCCACCTACTGTACTCGCCGTGAAGTTGTTTGCGGCCTGCCAGTAAACCCAAAGCAGAAGAAGAAGAAGTGACGTCAGCGGCTCATTTGCCCAATCCACCCCTAGGAACTCATTTTGGTGTGAACGCGATCTGCTTTAGTTCATCAGAACTAAAGAGCTCTCATGAACTAAAGTTCTCATGAACTACTGTGGGAAAAGTACTTGGTGTGAACGCCCCTATTGAGCACTGAGGACGTCACACAGTCTGCAGGTGTAGTGAAGAAACCTGTGAACCATAAGGCAGATTTACTGAACAGGATGATAATTATGGCTGTTTAGTTTGAATATTAAAACCAAGATTAAACCAAACTACAACATGCAGCACAAACTGAAGCTTAGCTATCAGTATTTCTGTCAGTGAAGAGCAGGACTGTGGCTGTGCTGTGGTCACACACTTCACTCACTCACACACACTTCTCTCACATACTCACTTCGCTCACTCACATACTTCACTGACTCACACACTTCACTCAGTGTGACAGGCTGTCTTTCCTGTGTTCATGTTCTAATGCACATGTGTCAAACTCAAGGCCCGGGGGCCAAATCCGGCCCTTGGTGGATTTAATTTCGGCCCGCAGGATAATTTCTAATTACTATTAGATCTGGCCCACCGGTATATTGCACGCACACCTTCACTCCATCCTGAGGGTTTCCTCAGCTCAGAGCCTGACCCCAAACATTGATGAACTTGCACCCAAGATGAGATGCCAAGTATCTGGCTTGAACTAGCATCACAGAGCAGCACACTGAGTTTACATGGATGTTTCCTTCTGCACTTTGTCTCTCACGACAACAGGGAATGTTTGTTTTTTTCTTTCAGGGGAATAGTTTTTTTGAAGCTGTTGTTGGCCTGTGGAGAAATGTAATCATAAGAAATGACTCTGGAAAAGCTGCAGATAGAGCCATAAGAAATTAATGCAACTGATTATTTAATGTTTAATGTTGTTTTTATAGGCAATAATTGAAGCTTTGTTAGTTCCAGGTTTAATATGTGCAATAAGTTCATTTCAATAAGTTCTGCTATAAACATTGAACCAGTCCGGCCCTCGACTAGTACCCATTTTTTAATTTTGGCCCACTGTGTATTTGAGTTTGACACACCTGAGGCCTGTACGACGAAGCCGGATTTTCGCTTAGCCGGCTGACTTCAGGGAAAATTCGGGCTTTCCGGTCCTACGACGCTGGTTCTCTTTTTAGCGGGCTAGATCTCCATGGTAACTTATGCTGAGCGGCTAACCTCCTCGGGAGGAGGTTAGGTTGCAGGCTAAGAGATCAACTCAGTGAAAGCACCGCCTGCTGACCAATCAGAGCTCCGTGTGCGGAGTTTAAAGCTATCAAGTCATATTACAGGATAGAGGAAATACAGAAAAACTGCCGTTACAGGAAAGACGGCCGGCAAAAATCAACTGACTGTGTGAACGTGAACATTAATAGAATATCCCCTCCCATCTTCAGAGCAATCTGACTATTATAACATTAGCGTTAAGAAAGCTTACTTAAATATCTGCCACAACATAAGTAACCGGATCAGAGTAACATTAAGTACAGTCCGCGGCACTGTGAGTGCAGACGTCGATGTGTCCCATTATCATTCATATCATATCACATCATAATGTATCATATATTTCCTTATCTGAGTCAGCTTCTTGAGCCGTATCTGGCTGTGCAACACTCACAGTGTCACATACTGTATGCAGAAGTATTATTTTAAGCAACACATTAAGTTGACGAAACACTCGAGTCAAATGTAATTAAAGTCAGATCGTGTCTTAGACGGGGCAGTGATATCATAAACCTGTTAATGAACGTATTCAAACACTTTTTCTGTTACCAGCTGTATTCACCTTGCAGGTGCAGCTATGTGGCTTTTATCCTGGATAAAGTGTTTAAGTCATGGATGTTTAAAGTTTAACTTTTTCATATTTGTCTAATATTAAAGTTCACTTTTCATTCAGGAAGTATGACGCTGCGCTGTCAGTACGCTTGTCCATGTTTGTGATTGGTGGAATGCTCCAAATACCACCCCTTTCATGTGAACGCGCACCTAACTAGATAGTAGTGATGTGTCGGTCGCGAACGAGCCGATTCTTTTGAACGGCTCTTTGGTACGAACGAGGGGAACCGAGTCCTACTTGGTGAGAGCCGTTCTTGTTATCGTTCAATCGTTGGTCCGCACGGTCCGCACTCACTGCCTGCCAAAATCCACTCGCCTTTTAAAAAGCTTGATTTTGTTCCCCAAACGTATTCTGTGAAGATCCGCCACTACTCTGATTGGTAGGTTTCAGCACGAGGAGTGAGATGGGGTGGGTCTTAACGGAATACGCGCGAGAGAGAAGTCATAACAAGTGGTACAGGACAGGTAGACGACGTGTTTTTCGGATGGAAAATGAGCCAAACGCGAAAACGCAGCAGCATTTGGATGCACTTCAACCAAAACCCAGGCAGTGATAAAGCGCACCATTTGTAAAGGCAAAATATCCTTTAAAGCAGGGTCAACAAATAATCTCCATCGCCACTTAAAAACACAGTATCTAATATTAAGAGTTGCATGAATTTCATTCAAGGCAAGGCAACTTTATTTACTTAACACATACAGAGGGTAAATTCAAAGTACATTCACTGACATGAATGACATGGATATGGCGCCACCTTGTGTCATGTTTACAATGCCGATTATTGACATTAGGTCTGGCAATCATTATCCTGGTGATTATTTTGCAGATAAACCTAGTAACCTTAAAAAAACGGCTCTTTTGAACGGCTCTTTGAAAGGAACGGAGCCATAAGATCCGGCTCCCTTCAAAGAGCCATAATTCCCATCACTACTAGATAGGACACGGCTGGCTTGAGCGATCCACTTGATAACCAGCGTCGTCGGACCGCTTAGCGAGAGCGCGTATGTTTTGGATTGGGCCAACCGGCTAACTCAAACACATCCAGGTTAGAAAAATCCGGCTTCGTAGTACAGGCCTCTGATCTAATGTATCTTGACAAACACTATTTCAATGGGTTTAACTTTTAAAGCAAACACATACAATTCTTCTTTTCTGAAATCATAGGTTAACTTATAGCATTATTATGGACATTATTTACGGCTTATGACATTAGTTTGAATGCAATTTCACCCTTTTTATTAAAGTAAATCAATACAAAACAGAACATGAAAAAGGAAAACAAAGGATACTGTATACAAAACATAGTCGGTACACACACAAAAGAGAATTATAGTTGACAAGCTCTTGGAAATAGTTTTCTATGAGTGAAATACTTCTCTTTACTAAACCCTAGTGGCAGCAGTGTGAAACTGCAGCTACATCAGCTAATTTATGTTCCTCTGTAATATCCCAATGTGTTTTTCAATAGCAAACATGTATATTTGTACTTAATTCATGAATATTAATTTGAATATTCAAATAGATAAAAAAACTTAATGCATATATTAACATTCAGGTTGAACCATATAATGTTATCCTGTGGGAGATGCATGTCACTCAATCCAATAGTAGTCAAACGAAAGGTCATCCTTCAAATAATAAAGAGTTATCATTGGAGCGCCACTATTTGAACCAAATGTAAAGACAGTCCATCCAAAGGTTGCAAGTCATAAAAACAAATCACTGAACTGCCTACCCCTAGGGGTACTTTGGAGTACTGCAGTGAGTTTTATTTTTGTATTCTTTATCGGAAAATAAATAGCTATGCATAATTAGAAATATAATGATACTATAATATGTGTTTAAAAAACTCATGTAAATTGAAAAGACTGTATATTCAATGTTCAATACTGGTGACCCACTCCAAGTAAAACATAAGATAAAGACTGTTGAATGTATAAACTTAGTGAAGCCGTTTTTAAACATTTTACTGTAAAAGAATCACAGACATTTTAGAACATAAATGCAACGCCTGCTGTGTTTATCTGGATTTGTTGACCGTGCTGTACAATGCAGCTGGATCCTCTTCAGAGTCCTGCCCTCTGGTCCTGAGAGATAAATGAAGTATTTCTTAGAGGTAATAATAATGCAAAAGGAATGAAACAATATATGAACAATGTTCCTGCTCACCTCGGGGCAGCACTGCTGAACTTGACGGCAGCGTACTCCGAGACTTCCTGTTGCTCCGTGTGTCTGAAGGGCAGAGCTGCTCTCAAATTGGAGTCAAGAGGGTCTGCCCGGTTGTTGGAGAAGTGAACGGTGGCATACTGAAGGTCCTCCTGCTGCTCCGGCTGATCAGGTACACACTGCAGGGAGGAAACACTTTCAGCTACACATTTTTACATTAATAAGTATTTCATTTACAGAGGAATGGACCCAGGACAGAAAAGGCCAAAGCAACAGCAGCTGTGGTAATGATGGAAAGGACAAAAGGTAGGAACACTTCTGGATGTACAAGGAATTTATTCAAATCAAAGACAAGAAGAGAATTAAAGAGATTCTGTTAGAAATGTACTTTTATAGAAGGATGTCAAAAGAGCAGCAAGTGGTCCTCTTCTGTCAGATACATTTTCTAGAAGCACTTAAAGACCATGAAATACTCCTCAGTATAAATTGAATCTAACATGTTTTATTTTGTAATAGATTACTAACATATGTATCTATTCTCACCTCTTCCCTGTTGTCCGCTCTCTCTTCACTCTCAGAGGAGTCCCTAGAAGCCCTCTTTCTTCTGTTAATGAGAGTTTATTAAAAAACAAATCAAATGTTTTAGTTCTGACAAACTGACTTTCATTGATTAAACAAACAACGATTAAGAGTAACAGATCTGCTCACCTGATCCACGGGAAGACAGAGAGAGAAATGACAGCCAGGAGAACAACAGAGATTGTTACAGCAGCTGGTAGCTTCCATGATCCTCCTGAGAAACAGTGATCAACAGAGAACAGACAGTTAATACAGCAGTGTTTCTCATATACAGTATGGATACTTTGGAGTATAGCAGGGGGTGTGTGAGACTTTATTTTCAACCTTCCTATTCCTAAACTAATGATACTGTAATTTGTTTTTAAAATAATGTAGCACTTGTTCAATGTTCAAGTGCTGAAACAAATGGAAATACATGTATGAGATTGTTAGTTTTGTGATGAACGAGTGTGTATACACAACTCTCACTGAGTACACAGGGAATGACTGCACCCTATACTGAATCTGGACCCTCGGTTTAATTATTTCCTTATGTCAGAGAAAACAACCCCTATCCTGAACCGGAAAGGTACATTTGAACACACACTCCTTTTTCAGCCTCCTACCAAGACAACGTGACTGAAAACAAACAAGCTGATAAGTGTGTGGTGGATGAATTCATAACATGTACCTTTCACCAAACTCAGATGTAAGTTGGAGTTACTACGTCCTAACTTGTTCTGGGCTTCACAGGAATAACTGCCACTGTGTTCAGCTCTGAAGTCAGTGATGTTGAAGATCTGTCCTGAAGCTTTTGGAGAGTCTTCATCCTCCTTGTACCAGGTGTAGTTAGCTGCTGGGTTAGCATCACTGCTACAGGTCAGAGTCACTGAACTGCCCTCCTCTATCTCAGCAGAGGGTCTCACTGACACAGAGGGGAGCTTTGGAGCATCTGGAGATTCAGAGAGACCGGTGTCATTCACATCACTATGTTTTAAATGTTAACATGGCTTTATCAGATGTTGCATTTTGGATATATGGATACATTTGGATAAATCGATACATTTTTAGGTAATTATTGTCAATAAATGTCCTTTAAAAAATCATTTTAAGCATCTTAAAATCACCTGAAGCTAATCAGAGAATTACAGCAGACAGTGAATGAGAAGGTATAGAGCTGAAGAAAGTAGTAAAGATCATAGAAATCTTCTCCAGCAAAGACTGGAAAGATTAAAGCTTTCAAACAATGTTCCACTCACATTTCACATCAATGGAGATGTTTTTAGATGTTTTCACCCCCAGCTTATTCTCAGCCGTACAGTAATACTGTCCGGAGTCAGAGGACTGGATGGAGCTGAGGACGAGACGTGGTGCTTCATTGACAGAAGAAAGGTGTTCATTTTGATTCTTCTTGTACCAGGTGTAGTTAGCTGCTGGGTTAGCATCACTGCTACAGGTCAGAGTCACTGAACTGCCCTCCTCTATCTCAGCAGAGGGACTCACTGACACAGAGGGAGGCTTTGGAGCATCTGGAAGAGATTAGTTTGCACGATTAATGAAAAATTGCACCCAGCTCATCAGGAAAACATCTCTCCATCAAGGTTCTCAAAATTAGCAGAATGTGAAATTGAAGTAAGTATGAGAACCCTGAAAGACCCTTTTCAAGTGATTAAAACATGACAATTACAATTGATAAAATGTATTTCCTCACATTTCACATCAACAGAGATCATTTCAGATGTCCGTTTCCCCAGCTCGTTCTCAGCCGCACAGAAATACTGTCCGGAGTCAGAGGACTGGATGGGGCTGAAGAAAAGCTTTGGTTCTGTAGTGAGAGGAGGAAGTTTCTGATTTCCATTCTTCTTGTACCAGGTGTAGTTAGCTGCTGGGTTAGCATCAGTGCTACAGGTCAGAGTCACTGAACTGCCCTCCTCTATCTCAGCAGAGGGACTCACTGACACAGAGGGGAGCTTTGGACCATCTGGAAGAGAAATGTTAAAGATTATATTTTTTTATGACGCATGATTGACTATTTTATAATTTATTTTTAAACTATCCCTAGTCATCTATATTGTAATTTGATCAGGTGTAAAATCAAAGATTTCTGCTTATGGAGAAAGCCACTAAATGTGCTTAATCTTAATATTAATGGCTTCAAAACTCATGCTTCTCTCTGGTAACTGGCTTTAATAGAGCAGTAAACTAAACTGTATAACATCAAACAGTTAATGCAGCAACAACGTTTTTATACTTCAAAATGTCATTAAAAAAGAACTGTACACATTTGTATTCATAAAAAAGTAATTTATGTATGTCACACTGAACATGTTGGGTTTATTGAAAGCTACATTTCTAAAATTAGTGCTTGTAGGATACTTGTTTTTATCTTTATGGTTGCCCGGATAAAAATGAAACTGATGTAATGTACTTTAGAAGACTCCGGTGAGGTTATGTACAGTATGTCTATAACGTCACTGTATTGTAATGTCAATGTATGTGTGTAAGAGTAAACTCACACACTGGAGGAGAGGGAAAGTCCTCATATCCCTTCAAAGCACAGGAATAACTGTCTGCATTGTTTGGGTTGCTTGTATAATCAGATGTTTCTCCCTGAATACTTTGTCCGTTCTTGTACCAGATGTAGGAAGGATTAGAAGATTGAGGACAACTGTTCTGACAAAACAGTCTGTTTGTACCTGATGTGACCTGGAGATCTGGATTTATGAAGGAACATGAATGTTATTTAAGACAAAAACTCTCAAAACACATGCATATTATTATTTTAACCAAAACATTAATAAATCATTAACATATAATTGAAAATTGTTACTTGAGACGGACAAAGTGACTCCAGGTGAACCACTATATTTTCCTCCTTGGTTTGTTTCAAATCTGAACCAGTACTCAGCTGAGTCGCTCTCTGTCAGGTTTTTGATTCTCAGAGTGCAGATGTTGTTTTCACAGAGATCCTCTACACGACCTGCATACTCTGGGTCTGTGGTCAGATCTACACGTACACCACCTTTCCATTTAGTGAACCAGAATGTTTTCTCCACTGTGATAACACTGCCTCTCCATGGAGATGGGAATGTGTAGCTGCATCTTATCTCCACTGTTGATCCTTTCACTGCACAGATCTTAGTCGAAGAGTAAGTCACTCCCCAGCCACCCTGACCCTGAACCACTGAAACACAGAGCACACCAGAAACTAGAATCAAAGTTAATCTATAAATTGCTGAGAAATTACCTGAACAGTAACAAAGAATGTAAAAATAAACATTTTACAAACGTTACTGGATAGAGCAGAAAAACACATGTGAATTCCTTCTTAGGCACTTTAAAACCAATGATACTCTTTGACTTTGTAGTTTCTTAATCAAACCAGGCAGAACAGAAGTCTACACAAAAAGGGTATGTTCAGTTTGACACGAGATTGGAAAATGCCTTCATATAAATAAACAGTGAATGATTAGCGATCATATTAATTAGAATAGTGTGAGATTCTCTGAACAGTTTCCTCTCTGTTCGCTCTGTGGTCAGGTTGCTGCTGAGGTAAGTGTGAAAATATCAGTAAATACTGAGCACTGAGGTGTGAGCAGCTTCTGTCTGATATACAGATAAGAAAAAGAAGAAGACTGCTTTCAACTCACAGTGTGGGAATATAACAGTCAGAGAGGAGAGAAGGAACTAGAAGGGTTTGGTGCAGAGTGGCGACATGAGAGAAGTTGAGACAGTATGAAATGACTAGTAAGAAAATATCCCTCTAAAACACTAACATTTTTATGAAAACATTTTTTTTAAACAGGCTCATCTTAAAAATACAACATAGCAAAATGTTATAACATGGTGAGGAGGGAACAGTTATGAATGAACAATATTCTCAGTTTGAAGCGTGTAAGAGTAATAAGCACACAGTTACTTTTGTGTTCAAATTACGTTGACCAATACAGGAAATACATTTTTACAAGTATCCATTACATGTAACACTAAAAGACTACCCGTTTCAACAAAGCTACACAAAACATATATTTGGACTATTTCTGGAAAGTTTGCATTTCATCTAACCCCGATCCACTTATTTCTACAAATGACCTGCTTTTACAAGTCCCACATTTTCCCAGAATCCCCTCTGTTCATGTGATGAATGTAAGTGTAGATGTACAGTACCTGACACAGAGAGCAGGAAGACAACTAATCCACTCGCTGCTGCAGTTAGACTCATAGCTGCTCCTCTCATCTCTGAGACTATAAAACATGTCAGATTAAATAATGTTCACAGGAGGTATACAGAATCAATACATCAATAAACTGTTTCTACTCACAGTGAAGGAGGAACCATGTGTTTATAGATGCCTTTCCTCTGTCACCAATGAGCAGAATACGGATATCAGGCTGTTAGAAGACTAGATTTACTTCCTCTTTAGATTATGAATATGCATGATGAGCCAAATGCCAGTAACACCCACTACACAACAAAATGCCAGTTAACACCCACTACTCAGTAAAGTGTTGTTGTGTTACAAAGTATAAACTTTTCTTATACAAAATAAACTATGGTTAAAACTTGTTTTGCTGCCGATATACCACTGAAACAAGAGAATTCAAATTAAGAGGAGAATAACAGTTGATCTCTATGAGCACTGAGGACGTCACACAGTCTGCAGGTGTAGTGAAGGAACAGGAAGGCATTAACCTGTGAAACCACGAGGCAGTTTAACTGAACAGGATGAAGAGAACTGTATTAATTATAAGAGAAAATGGAAAATGCCATATCAATTATCTTGGTTTGTTTCTTCTCTGTTCTCTCTGCGGTCAGGTTGCTTCTGTTTGTAGAGAAATGCAGAACACTGAGACGTGAGAAACTCACGTCTCAGTGGCAACCCAACATGAACACACACATAACACACATAATCAAGTGGACTGGAAGGAATCAGACACAAAATGTTCCAATAATTATTGTTGGAGCTATTTATTGATTTAACATGTTGATGTTGATCTATGTCATGGAAGAAGTTTCCTTCATAATTTAGTAATGCTGTTAACAGCATTCCAACTATCTGTTATTCAAAATCTTGATTCCGCCCGTTATTTTGCCGGCTTTCTCCTCCCACATTCCACATCGCAGAAACTCCGTTCGAACATCAAAATGTTCAGCTCGGTCGGGAATCGATGGCTATTACTTTTATCATTCATAACTTTCATAATTCCAGAGATACATCCCATAATTCATCACATTTTTAACCATTGAAGTCAATGGAGAAACTCTTCAGACTTGAAAAATCTTCAAAATCTTCATGCGACTTCAACTGCTAACTGTTCATTCATACTTTCACTCAGAAACCTCATTCCAACTTTAAAATGTTACACATCTTTCTGACATTATTCGTGTAACACAACCTTTAAATCTGATTCTTACTTTTAGAGATATTAAACATTGTTCAGACCTTGGTAAAAAGGCTTTCTTCAGATTTTAACATTAACTAGAGTGCGTGATGTCACAGCTAGAGTGGAGGAAATCTTGAAATTTGCCTTCATATTTTTTTTTAAACTGCCATAATTCCCAAACCCTACATTCCTGAGACATAATTTTTCATGACAAACGTAGGAAAACATCTCGTAGCTTGAAAAATGACAAATAATTAAGCAAAGAATAATTAAACAAAATGCCTCTTGAGGGCATGAAGTGACAAAAACGTTCAACATGCCTCCATTAAAGCCCATTGTAATTTCAGGCAGATATTTCCTCACACCTTTAGTTAAACTGCCAAAAAGGCCACATTATTAACCCGAAAGTACACAAAAATTACACTTCAGATACTCAAGGTCCTTGAGATGCTTCACGTTTTGAAATTGCACAGATATCTGTTACAGTTCTTCGACAAAACGTGAGGTTTATCTCTCATTCAGAACAATGGAAACCTTTGATCTCTGCACACCTCGTTAGCTCAAATATAAACACCTGTGTCATGGAACACGATGATGTCATAACACACAGGTGTTCGTGTTTGAGCTAACGACGTGGTCACTGGAGTTTAACAGACTGGGGCCGTGGCTGCGTTTCACTTCGGTTAAATGGATTCCTTGCGTCCCTCACTTGCGTCGTTTCCCTGCGACTAGTCCCTCCCACCAGGGAAGCATGGAGAGACTCAAGGAAACCACGAGAAGCAGGGAAATGAGTTTTAAGAGCAATGGGACGTCCTTTCCTCCGGAGGGTCACGTGAAGCGACGTCCGTTTGTGATGACGCTGCACAGCTGATCGTCTGACAGCAGCCAGCTCTGTCCCCGTTATTTTCACAAACACCCCCGCCTCTGTTAGTACACATTTACTGACACAAACATTTGTATCATCTGTTGTAGACCCAAATACATTAAATAAGAACTCATTCTCAAAAAAGATAAACGCCATTCTTAAAATGTATAAACGAACAATAGTTAGATTAATATTGATTAGAGTGCACAATAGAAATAAAATAATTGAGAGAAGAAAGAGAGATATGTTATCTATCAAAACCCAGTTAGATTAACATTCATTGGATTGCACACTTTGTCTGTTTGTGTGGATATGTAGCACATTAATATGTTAAATAGCACTTAATGACTGACTGAATGGAAATGACAATAAATGAAAATGTAAAACGAAAAAAGCGATCATGAAAATGTTTCCAATAAATGAATAAAATGATTTTTGAGCACTTTGTTGTTCAGATATATCACATATTTGTAACTGAATGATGCATTCATTGAAACAGAACACGGTATGAACTGAGGAGTGAGTCCCGTGAGTTTCATGTGTTTTCTTCACTCCGCTGGGAAACTGCTCTCATGTCAAGAAGCATCAGATCATTGCATGCGCTGCATCGTCCAATCAGTGAGCGATACACAGTAAGGGGGCGGGGCGAGTCTCTGAGGATTTCATCGAAGGATGGTCTGGTGGTTCCTCGATTATAGCTCCTCCATTATCGCTCCTCGCTCCTCAGTCCTCGGTCCTCCGGCAAAAATAAGGCCATTGGGACGCTACTCAAGATGGCGCAGACAAATCAACTTCCGGTGAGACCGAGACCGAGGAGCGAGGAAATGAAAAATAAGAGAAGTGAAACGCAGCCCGTGTCTCAATTCAGGGGTTTCATCCTTCGAAGGGTGCATTCGTAGACCGCACACGTCACTTCCGCCGAAAGAAGGCTGTCCCAATTTAAAAAAAAGACGAGACTCCTCCGAATGCGGCCCACGAATGCAGCCTACTTTTCCCCAATTTGAAGGATACATCTGATGTACACTCCGCGGTCTACCATATCCCAGGGTGCAATGCGCGCAGGGAAGAGTGAGTTGTTTTCAAATGAAATGGCTTCCGGTCTCCCCAGCAGAGTGGATTTAAAAGCAGCAGCAAGCGGAGGAATCACTAATAAATGTGAGTATTGGGTTTTAACTTACTTTAAATTAACTAACGTCACACACGTCAAACCCAAGGGGCATTAAAACGTACATTTTCGTTAAATAATATGGATAAATATGTGACGCTAACTAGCTAGCTGGACGTACTGCACTGTTGTTTACACTTATTTTTAATTCAATTCAGAAGTTTACTAAAGTCATACAGAGGCTCTGTTATAGATAAGTTATAATGTATATTACATAAATAGACCAAAGTGAAAACATTTAGACCGGTATAGCCTACAGTACGGTGGGATTTATAAAATGCTACCCTGACGTGTAGCTGCTGTTAGCTTTATTTATTTCTCTGACATGTTGCAATGTTTTACTGTTTATTAAACTTTGGGACAACATTACAACCTTTGTGTTCAGCTCATGCTGCTTTGAGGTAGGGCTAAAAGAAAAGCCTATTTTAAATATTTCCACCAGATTTGATCATCTTTTATTTAGGTTAAAGTTTATTTAATGTATCATAATCCCATAATAATAAGACAATCACAAATAGACAGCAGCCTTTTGCTTGTTGTTAGTTTGTGCCGTGCTGTCAAAGGGATGCACGTGTGACTGTCTTCATCTCTTTAGTTTTTTAAAAACCATAACAGTACATCATTTTGAATGATCCTTTAGGGATTGTTTGTCTGAAATGCTTAGAGTTAAATTTTGCAATAATACTTCTGCAACCCTGTGTTCAATATGATTAATTCACTTTTTTCTTTTTCTCTTGTTTTTCTCTGTAATTAGGACAATTCTGGAGAAATGGATCTGCTGGAGAAGGACCCCTAATCTGAAAAGTGCACAGCGGATCATCAGGACAGAGCTGCCATCCACCTGGACCCCCCGAGGTGCTGGAGAAAGCAAACCGGCGATCAGGACCCTCCTCCACCCAGACCTCTGCTCACTGCCGTCCTACCGTCCGTTGTGTCTTAGTTTCAGAATTAGATTTTGTATGTGTCCTTTCTTTTAATAGATATGTAACGATTATAGCTCGAGTCTGTCTGATTCCCCAAACAGCTGCTTCTATTTACTCGCTGCACATATAATACAAATAAACAACTCCATAAACACACTTTTGCTGATATTTGTTTTACTGCTGATGATGTTAAATAACATGATTGATTTCCTGTCTCAATGATGAAAGTTATAATAATAGAAGACATGAAGCTGCAGAGAGAGGGTGGATATATTCTTACCTCTACTTTGTGATAAGATGAAAATACTATATTACATTGTAATTGTTAAACACATTGTTTATTTCATTTACTGAGGTTTTAACCATTATTTCCAACATGTGTACATAAGCAGTGAAATAATAGGATATCTCTAGGTCATTCAACTGTGTTCAGTTTAATTTTATTAATACAAAAAATAGGTAATAGAAAATGTTTAATTGTGTATTTCAGCAGAGCGGGGGGTCACGGTGCTGCTGGACCTGGAGGTGCTGACCTGGGGTCAGTGGGACATCATCTGGGCAGCTTTAGGGGAAGAAGGAGAATATAAACTGTTATGATCACAGCTATTAAGATTAGAACACTAATATTGTTAAGAATCAATCTATACAACATGCTTTTGTTCATTTAAAAAACATATTGTTTTATTAGTACAGAACAATTAAGACTTATTTTAAATATGAAATAATATGATTAAATTACATCAGCTATATATAATTTACTTGTTAACTTACTAATGTAACATTACTGGGGGCTAAAGGAATAGCTTCATCTTATTTACTTGGCCATGGTCCTCTTTAATTCATCGCCGACGGTGATCTCCAAAAAATGTAAAAGTAAAAGTAAAGTTTCTGGATCCTTTTCAGCTGAGTTAGCTTGTAAGCTAATTTGCTAGCAGGCTGCTGGAGCAGCGCAACCGAACAGCGCGTATCACGTGACGTAAATACGAAGCCCTCCGTAGGCTAGACAGTGGGTGTTTCTCAATCGCGAGTGCGCTTGCTTGGTAGCACATGTCTGCCGAGCATCTTGCTTCAGAAGCGAGTCAAGAAAACTTCCTGGCATTCGGAAAACGAAGTGTGGAACACGCTAGCAAATGTGCAGGTGTGCGTCATATGAGAGGCCCCGCCTCTTACATCTTCCGCCACAGATTTGGGGAAATTGGTCCGTGCGCAAAGCATTGTGGGGATTTTAAGACCGCGAAGTCTACTCATGTGCAGCCTCGATATTTCTCCAAACGGAGTACGCCGGGCTCGGTAGATTTCCAAGTATGCTGGAGATTGGAACAGTACTTCGGCGGCACTCGATGACGTAGTATGCTTGAAATAGTGGCTCTGAAGCAGCTTTACTCGCGATTGAGAAACACCCCTTCTCATTTCGTAGGCCGCTCGGTCCAGCCTACCCGGTCTACGTGGGCTGGGTCCTCCGTGGACCGCGTAGGCTGCGTACTCCGAAGGGTGCAGCCTTTGAATTGAGACACGGCCTGGGTGTTTCTCAATCGCGAGTAAAGCTGCTGCAGAGCCACTATTTCAAGCATACTACGTCATCGAGTGCCGCCGAAGTACTGCTCCAATGTCCAGCATACTTGGAAATCTACCGAGCCCGGCGTACTCCAATATTGTATAAAATAGGTGGAACATGTTGAAGTCAGTATGGTGAAACACAGCTGTCGTCGTTAGCTCAACAGCTCTACGTCAATTATGGGGTTTCTTCAAATGCCGTTGCCATGGCAACACAATGCTCCAACCTTATACTTTTCTCCAGAGTGCCGTGGTTCATTGTTTATTAATGTGTTTCAGCGGCATTTACCGACCGCTGCAGTGCTGGCTGCACTTCCACGGGAGTTTATTCTCCCGTTAGCTCCGGGTTAGCTCACACGGCTCTAAAGTATTCACTGTCTGACTGTCACACAAGCAGCTGATACATATCCCCAGTTCCCCTTAAGTGAATGTGTGTCAGTCTGAATTGACGCTGTTTGGCATCACAACGCTGTTATGAAAGTTTCTCTGGTATAACATGGGTGATGTTAGCATAGCAACCGAAGCTAAACTGACTACTTGCTAAGCCGTTTTCTACAGGCACTTTTTACCGGCGTATTTTTCATTATGATTCTACTTGTGATAGTCGGACATGACAACCTGTATAGCCCATGTATCTCCACAATGATCAATAACAGCGAACGGATGGTCAAAGTAAGGTTTCCTGCACGCCTCGACGTAAGAGACGTAAGCGACGCCACGTCATAGCTCCGAAGCTCTTGCCTCTGGACCGACAATTTTTTGGAGCTGGAAGTTAACCGCATTCCGGAGCTATGACGCGCCGCCGCTGCGGTGTGAACAGGAAAAAGCGCCGGTGTGAAAGGGCCATTGCCATTAGTGAGTTTTCCTCAAAAGCTGTTGCCATCCCTTGCAATAAAACACGATATTGCTATAACTCCTATGAAAATTGTCAAAAAGTGCTAAAACTTCACATGCCAACAGTCCAGCCGTGAAGACATCTACGGGACAGTTTTGAGATTTCTTCAAATGCCGTTGCCATGGCAACACAATGCTCGCCATGAAACACGGTTTTCTCATAACTTCAGGGAAAATGCTCCAAACGGCCCAAAACTACACAGGTTTGGTAACGATGCAGCCATCAACGCATCTAAGCGTATTATGGGATGTCATCAAATGCCATTGGCATGGCGACAGATCATTCGCCATCAAGTTAGTTCAAAAGTTTGCAGTTCAAATATTCTGCTGCTTTTCCAAGCCTTTTTACTTTCTTTTCTTCTCTCATCACACATTCAAGCCCCCAGTGTGCATGTATCATTTCAATCTAAATTCTTCACTTTCTTCTTAGACATTACATTTCAGCATAGCAGTTTAGCGTCAGCTTTTCAGCATAAAGCATTCCCACTAGCAATTTCTTCAGGAATTGCATTCTCTAGTTCTCGTTTATTCTTCTTTCTAGTAGCATCCCTCGTAGCAATAGTATATTTTACCTATTTTAAAATCAAACAGAAAACCTAGAGCCCTAGTTCAGTGTCTTTGGACACTGCCATGTCTGCTGGCGACCTCTGGTGGGTAAATAGATAAATGAGTGCAATGATGATATTTACATTTACTTTCATTTGGTTTAATTTGTTTATTGATTTGTGTTTACATTAATTCAGATTTGGTGTATTTTGTTGTTTTTCCTTTGTTTATCTTTCTGCACCAAACGTGGCAGAACCCTAACCTTTTGTCTTGTGCCGGACAGGTGCTGTGGGCCTGAGGCGGCAGACTCCCTGGTGGGAGCAGTGGTGTTCTTCACGTGTCTGTTTTGTGTGGTGTGCAGTGTCACGGGGGATATAGTTTGGACCCCTTACTCCCTTTTTTGTTAACTGCCGCTGTGGTAAGTCCCAGCCCTGTCCTTTCCCCCAAAGTGTGGATTTTATTGAAATGTATTGTATCTGGTGTTTTTAGATATTCTGTATTTTATAAATAAAGTAGCCTTTGATATTAACCCTTAAACTGTCTCTGGGCGAAACTCCCCCAGGTGGCGTTGTCAGCAACCGACCTCTTACACCTAGCCGCACCACCCCGCCACAACGCAGAGAAAACCGACACAGTTTCAGAAAGTAACACAGGAAACACACAGACTGACACAGTAACACAGAAAGCACATAGACTGACACACACAGTAACACAGAAAGCACACAGACTGGTACACACAGTAACACAGAAAGCACACAGACTGGTACACACAGCAACACACATACAGACACTCAGGTCACACAAAGCAGACAGCGAGGTAAATACATTCGTTGAAACTCATCACAGGAAGTGACAGTCCAATTATTTACATCTGTTCAGAGTCCTTTAGAATCGATGGAATTAAGATAAGATAAGATAAGACTTCAATTGTTATGCCAGAGTTACAAAAATACAATAAACACAGCAGCATAATAGTAAAACTGTACACTAACAGTGCAGTAAAAAGAGCAATTAAATATCTACAGGAAACAGAGACGGTCACATAATTAATGTAAACATTAACAGTAAGCCATGGTATCTTTCCAACTTTACCAAACCTCCATTCTTACAAAAAAACGGTTACCTCGATCTGGACATACCGGCTATAACTTGATCATCATTTCTGAACTACAGCCCATCATTCGGATGTGGCTGAGAGGAAGAGCGGTTGTCTTTGAGTCAGAAGAAGCCAAGTTATCATGTTGATTTAACCTAGTGTGTATTGTACTGCTTGTTAAATGTGTGCGTTATCTCACTGCTACAGTGGAGAAGAGCTTCAAATCAAAGACCTCAAACCTGTTAGAAATCCCATCCATTACACTCCTGTTACTGAGTTTTAGGTAGAAGCAAAACCTTTAATAGCAACACCATTCTTTACGCTAATAATAATTTATATCTGGCTCTCGAGGGCTCTGAAGAGAAGTGTACTTCTTGCGCCAAATCCATCAATAAAAGTCAATCAAAGTTTATTTATTCAGCCCAATATGACAAATTGTAGTTTTGTCTCAGGGGGCTTTGAGGTTAATACAGAACATGAATATGCTGGAAATTCCCGGTGCTGTAAGCTTTTAAAATATGTATTGAATAGAGAAGTGTTTCTCCTTGCACTGTGTACAACTTGACACAAAGCTTCCAAATAAAAGGGGGACTGGTCAGAGGAAGTGAAATTGAATATGATAGCAGCTCAAAGATATTGTTAAAGACACTTGTTGAAACCTTCAGAGCAATTGAAAGTAAGTTTGTTATAAAGGTTGTCGTATCCACAGAATACAAGGCGACCAAGCAGAACAACATTGTGTGAAACACAGACACAGACATTAATTAATCTATAAATATAAGTGAAAATAAATGTAAAAAATACATTAAATATATATAATAATGTGTGTTCTGTATTATTCCCAACTCTCATTAGACACAAATTTCAGTATTTCTTTTTTATTATTCCTGTATTTATTTCCACATGTATTTATTTCTCGTTTTTTTTTCCACATTTATTAATTCTTGTATTTTTGTATTCCTGTATTTATCATGTATTAATGTGTTTATTTAATTTATACTTATGCCATGTTCTGTCCTCAATACCTGTGTGCTCGTTGTGTGCATACAGGTACAGATTCACTCTAAATCACATCACAACAAGACCTGTAGTTTGGCATTCATTGTTTTAAAACCACACTGCCGGTCTAGAGGTTTATGCATTTGGGTTTTCATGCAGGTGTTCGAGGTTCAACACCCAGGAGAGGAATATCTTTTGTCTTCTGCTGTGCTGATGTTAAATCTGGAGAAATGGTCTCCACCACTTTTTCTAATAAAGTGACGCCCATGATTCTAATAAGATTCAATTCCAGATTCAAAGGTTTTATTGTCATATGCACATAAGCTACAGTGTAGAGATGGCAATTAAATTATTCTGACCTGAGCTCCTCCAACAATGCAACATATATAATAAAATACAAAAACACAAAATACAAAATAAAATAAAAAGTAGTGCAAAAAGTCTATACATGTCAATAGATTGTGGAGAAAGCACGTTTTTTAAGAATGTCTGGTCTGGTGGAAAGACTTTATAAAAGTGTGAGAAACAGTAAAATCCAGAGGGAGGCAGTGATGCAACACTGTGGAAGCAAACAGCCGTAAAACACCACAGAAGAAGAAGAGGAAGTGCTTTTATTTTGAAAGGAGTCTGTGTTCCCAGGGTGCATTGCGCGTACTCACAAACATGGTGGATAAATGAATAGAAGAAGCTGTTAATGGTTAAAATCCGGAATAAACTTCTTATTAATTCATGATTTGAAGCACCAGGAATTCAACATGTCATTACCCTGAAGCAAACTCGGTTCAAGTCGGATAAATAAGTGAGTGTCACCTGAATAACTGCTGTGGGTTGAAAATGATTCAGTAAAACATGCTAATGTCAACTGTAAATAATGCACTGTTAGACCAACATGTGATCCAAGAACGCTCTTATTTTTGTCAAATCCATTACTTTTCTGTGCATTTGTTTTTATTTTACAAGAAGAAATGCTTACCTAGATTATACTGTAGTTTGAGTAACGTTAGCAATCAGTCTGTCTTCAGAGCTTTGTTGAACAAGTTGTACAAATACACTTGATATAGTGTAAAAGGAGGTTATAGCTATTATTATGTCGTAAACTTCTGTACACCCCCTCATCAATATCTTTACTATTACTGTTTATTATAAATGTTTCTCATGCTAACACACAGTTGCAATGTGTTACACATGTGTTATTGTATTTCTTGCTCTTCTTTATGTATGACTTGCAGGTGCAGTATTTTTTCTATGCATCTGTCTTCTGCTCTTTATTTCGGTTCTTAACACTTGCTGTATGTGTGTTCTCTCTCAATATGTTCATCACACACAAGGACATGTTCTTTGCAAATAAATAACCTTCTTAAAATAAAACCATATTCTGATTCTGATTATATTTATAATTTGTCCTCTCAGGTAACGTGATGTCGTTCCCGGAGCCCAGACCTCAGGTTCCTCAGCTCCCTCAACACCTTCTGAGGAGCATCGACTGCCAGCAGGGGGCCGTCCGGGCGGTGCGCTTCAACGGTGAGACAGAAATATATATCATACTGATGTTCAGACTATTGGGATATATATAGGGAGGCGTGTGGCGCAGTGGACTAGTGCGTTGGTGTTCGGATCAGGGGGGCACAGCTTCAAACCCCACTGCAGTCAGTATGTCGTTGTGTCCCTGAGACACTTCACCCCAAATTGCTCCTGTGGGGATTGTCCACAGCAGGGGTCGGCAACCCCTGGCACGCGTGCCAGCATTGGCACGCGGCACCGTAGCCAGTGGCACACTAGGAATAAGTCGAATAAGTGTGCAAAATATTTAAATTGTATTTTCGGATCCTGAACGAGACCGCCGCCAGAGCGCGTCTCCCCGTTACCTGCAGAAGGGAGCCATGCACGCAGCGCAGCCCCACTCTCTTTAACTCCAGGTGACTTTCTGCCGCTTTCCTCCGTGGTGCAGGGCTGATCGTTTCACCACAGAGGAAAGCACTTCACAAATTGCAGTACCCATAAGGAGCTTTACAAATGTCGCAGTTTTTGCGTGGCTGTGTGTGTCTTTAGTTGAAAGCCCAGTGGCGATCTGCTCATCTCTCATTGAAATAATATGCTACAAAGGGGCGGACTGGCCATCTGTGTGTTGAACTTTCCTGTCGGCTCCCAGACCGTAGTCGAGGAGGGCAGAAGCAACGAGCTTCAGGTTCAATAACCCACTTTAGCTTAAATGACTGGAGAGAGGCGAGCTCTTCTTGGGAGGCTGTTGCATTTATTTAGCTGTTCTTCTGTTTCACAAAATACATCACAGACCTCTGTTTTTCTGCTGCCTCGTTTCACTTCCAGAAACATACTCACATGCACACGCCACACCCCTATCTCTCTCTCTCTCTCTAAGGGACAGCGATCTCATCTCACTCTGCATGACCCTAATATCATAACATGTGTGTTCTGGAGAATCACAGAACGGACGATCGTCCTTATTATTATGCCGTTTAAACCAATTATTTAAATGTGTTTGTTAAATTCGGTATCATGTAAGTTGCGCTGACAGGTCCACACACTGCTTCCCCGCAGCGAGGCCCCCCCGCCCTTCTGTTGATAGATCACGAGCGTCAAGCTCCTCAACATCCTCAACACCCCCCCCCCCCCCCCCCCCCCCCCCCCGTTGATAATTCTCGATCGTTGGCACGCTGATAACAATTTTTTTTTTAAATGGCACTTCATATCAAAAAGGTTGCCGACCCCTGGTCCACAGTATTGAGTATGTTAGTCGCTTTGGATAAAAGCGTCTAACAAGTAACATGTAATGTAAACATCAGTAAGATAAGATACAGCTTTATTTATCCACAGAGGGTAAATGTGGTGCTGCACTAGCCAAATAAATAGAACAATACAATAATTGGCGTATACTAAGGCTGGATGATTTGGAAAACATTATTTTGACTGATAATGAAATTGTGATATGATTCACGATCAATCAATCAATCTTATGTATATAGCCCAATATCACCAATGTTACATTTGTCTCAGTGGACTTCACAGTTTGTACAGAATATCAATACGACACCCTCTGTCCTTGGACCCTCACATCGGACAAGGAAAAACTTCCAAAGAAACCCCACAGTCAACGGGGGAACATGTTATAAACCTTGGGGAGAGCAACAGACGTGCAATAGATGCCGTGTGTAAATTGAAAAAATTATACATTTACAACATAGGTAGTCCAAATGCTTGAAAATGCACGACATTGAAGGGGTTTATCATTTTTAATCATTAGCTTTAACACATTGTGTGCTTGGTGCAATTTGTGAGCGTGAACCCTCTATGTGAGTCTTGAGTCGTCCATTAAGTGTCTTTATCTTCCCTCCTCTGTGTGATGTCAGCTGACGGGAACTACATTCTCTCCTGCGGCAGCGACAAATCTCTGAAGCTGTGGAGCGTGAGTCGAGGCACTCTGCTGAAGACGTACAGCGGACATGGATACGATGTGCTGGACGCTGACGGGTGAGAGAGTTTCTATTACAGCCTCTTCCATAGAGTGGCAGGGAGTTTTAATCAGAAACATGCAGTGGAAACACTTATAGTGATAAACCACTTCCAAATATGTCTTGGCCATTTCTACTGATCATATTTCCATTGTTGAGGTCTACTAAAATACATTTATATTGTGCAATTTTCCAAACTCACATTGGTTTCTCATACAGCATCTCTGTATAGTATGTGTATTCACTCTCTGTCCTAAACGGCTTGTTGGAGCTCCTGCCCCCCCCCCCCCTCCCTGTGAGCCCAGTGTGCTCTGATTGGTCGGGACGTTGCGAGGCTCGCTGCTCAGTGAGCTGGCTTACTGGTGTGGTTTCTGGGTTGGCGATACAGCGGGACAGCGAGAACAAGCGAAACTCATCCTGAGCACACACAAACACTCACAGCCGAAGTAACAACAATAAGTGTGGCTTGATATTGAGTTAGAAAAAGGTTTATGACGCTGTGAGAATGGGTCTGCAGAGAGCATTTCTCCACCATCCCAACTCGTCTATTACCAGCGTTCAGGGAGCTCTATGCAAGTCAATGGGACTCCCTGTTAGTTAGCCAAGGGACCCTGGTGTGTGAGGTGCTCCGCGGATTGGTCCATTTGGGCCAATCCGGTCATGTGTTGTTGATTTGGGTGTTCACACGTCACAGAACCCAGGAAGCAAACAATGGAAAAAGAGAAATCTCCAACGAGGCGTTCTGGGGCAGCATAGACAGGTCTTTTCTGTGTTAGAGTTTTACTCGCTACAGGGTGTACTTTGAGGGTTTTTGTCTCTGCAGACCGTTTACATGCAGAACCTTCATAACACACAAGGGGACGGGTAATAACCAGAAAAGCATGACATGGGCCCTTTAAGAAGTAAACATGTAAACAAATAATCTTTACTTTCTTATTTCACCAGTTCCTTTGACAACAGCCAGCTGTGCTCCTGCAGCTCTGATAAGTCGTTGATTCTCTGGGACGTCGCCACGGGACAGGTCACTCGTAAACTCAGAGGTCACGCTGGGGTGAGTCTGAAACCGATACTGTACTGTAGTTTGGTTTTTGTTGTGTCTATTAAACTCTTTTTAATGTTTGTTCTCACCTAACTGTCTTACAGAAAGTCAACTGTGTCCAGTTCAACGAGGAGGCGTCTGTCATCTTCTCTGGTGAGTCTTCACACGTGTTAAATACCTTAAATGCACAAAACATCATTCAAATGTGTGTTTTATTGGATTAATTATGTGTAATGTCTTTCCACTTTAACATTGAGTTGTTTACGTAAGTGTCTTTTTAAGTATTTATGTTAAATTGAAACCAACTCATCAACCCGAGTACTGATCATTAACTGATTCGAATTTTGTGTTTCAATGGGAACTCATTAATTCAACCTTTACTTATAATCCATTGGTCATTGAGACACTACCCTCATTGATAAAAACATTGAGTCAATAATAAGTAAAAGCAAAAGCAACAAAGAGTTCAATCAGTAGAGACTTCAAGTTAGTTTAGTGCGATAACATATTTATTTCCATGTAAACAAAGGGCAATATTATCTTAAAGGGGACCTATCATGCAAAGTCCCCGGTGTGTCAGGGAACTCACGCAGCGTCAGAAAATAAAACCCTCTCTCTTTTCCTCCGTACCCAAATCTTTTAAAAACGGGTGTACCCGAGCGGATACAGATTTGCTGCCGATATTACGTAATTTCGGATGGTGGACCCACAGAGAGTTGCGAAACAATGCCTGACGTGTTTTGGACGTAATCTCGTCTTTGTTTACATTAGCAAGCCTCGCTAACACTCAGAGCTAACCTGTACTGGAGAGCACATGTGTTTTAAAAAGCAGGAAATAAAAAAGAACTCATCTTGTGATAAACCCGCAAGAGAAAAAGCATTTGAGCTCCATACTGTTTCAGAAATAATCCTTGATGTGGTTTAGAACAGGATGGCGTTTTATCACAGCAGAATTTAACTTTATCGGTACAATTCTGATCAGGCATTAGCTCCGCCTCCTCTTTCTTTTTTGTTCAAGCTAAGGACCCAAAATCCGCGTTTCTCTAACACGGCTGAAATAGAGGGATATGAGGGATTTCTAAAATGCATGATCTGTTTGTATTTTGAGAAAAACACATAGACATGTTTTTATATTTTTTTATCTGAGACCTATAATATATGCCTAAAAATAGCATGATAGGTGACCTTTAAACTTTGGCGATTAGACCCCATCGTGCTGTGATGGATTTAGGGGGAGGAGAAGCCGACTAGGAAAGGTGGGGGCTTGCTCATTGAAAGAAAGGGCGAGTGAGTGAGAGAGGATTTGTGAATGAGAGTGTAAGAGACAGTCTTCCTGAAAGAACTTGTGCTGTGCTTCATATATACAACTGTGTGTGTGTGTGTGTGTGTGTGTGTGTGTGTGTGTGTGTGTGTGTGTGTGTGTGTGTGTGTGTGTGTGTGTGTGTGTGTGTGTGTGTGTGTGTGTGTGTGTGTGTGTGTGTGTGTGTGTGTGTGTGTGTGTGTGTGTGTGTGTGTGTGTGTGTGTGTGTGTGTGTGTGTGTGTGGTGTGTGTGTGGTGTGTGTGTGTGTGTGTGTGTGTGTGTGTGGTGTGTGTGTGTGTGTGTGTGTGTGTGTGTGTGTGTGTGTGTGTGTGATGTGTGTGGTGTGTGTGTGTGTGTGTGTGTGTGTGTGTGTGTGTGTGTGTGTGTGTGTGTGTGTGTGTGTGTGTGTGTGTGTGTGTGTGTGTGTGTGTGTGTGTCCTCCAGGCTCTCTTGATGGGACGGTTCGTAGCTGGGACACTCGCTCCAGGAGGTTTGAGCCGATCCAGATTCTGGACGAGGCTCGAGACGGCGTCAGCAGCCTGAAGGTGGCTCAGCACGAGCTGCTCACTGGGTCAGAACACAATCACTTCCTGACATTAAATACAGTTCATTTGAAGATTACATTGATCATAAATCGTCCTGCTTATTCAGACTGCAGCAGTTTAGTTTAGTACTTGAAGTACTCACCTCTCTACCGATCAAAACTAAACATGGAGAAGAAGTGGTTAGTCATTTTGCTTCCTATTTCTGGAACAAACTCCCAGAAAACTGCATTTCACTTAATTTAAATCAAGGATGAAGACTTTTCTTTTAGACACTGCTTTTAATTTAAATCATTATATCTCCCACCGCTTATTCTTGTATTTTTGTACCTTTCTTATTCTTTTTATGCTGGTTTTTATTTTAATTTCTGTGTATTATCGATGTTGTTTTATGATTTTATTTAGTTTTTTATTTGGTGTGTAGGAATAGCCTTGTTGTAATGTGCTCTATACTTTCCTTGCCTGATTTTCAGATGTCACCGTGGCTCTGTTTTAAAATATCCTTCTGTTATTGTCTCATGTTCAGGTCTGTGGATGGCAGAGTGCGGCGCTACGACCTGAGGAAGGGACAGCTGCACGTGGACTTCATCAGCAGTGAGTAATTCATGATGCATTCACCACTAGCAGTACTACAAAATGCAGCACTTGTAACAGTGTGTGTGTGTGTGTGTTTTGCAGGTCCCATCACATGTGTGTGTTTCAGTCAGGACGGTCAGTGCACTCTGAGCTCCAGTCTGGATTCTACCGTCAGACTGCTGGACAAAAGCACCGGGGAGATGCTGGGAGAGTGAGTCGTGTTCACTCTCATCCTGTCAAAGTTAGAACATGTCCCTAATTGCTAGGCGACTTATACTTATGAGGTGGAAGCAGGAGGCGTCTCCCACTCATGTCCAGTGGGTGACAGGACTTATGAAGTTTCCACACATGGAGAAAATAAAGTGTACTTTGGGTGGCTCCACTTGCAAATGTTATAGGACATGGCAACCAATTTTAACGTACATGGAAAGTTTGAAACTGTGTACTCTTCCCTAACTGATTCCTCATTTTTTAAACTGAATTACAGTATAACACATATTAACTATAGCCAACCATTACCTTTTTTTATGTGTTTTTTTAGTTGTTTGTGCTGTGATTTCAACCATCTGTTTGTCTATCATTTTAAATGTTTTTGTACTATTAATCTAGTCTTATTCTTTAGGGGGGGGGGTTCCTCCTAGTAAAACAAATGGACAACCTGCACACCTGTTTTTGTTGTCTTTGTCACTGTATGCGTTGTTTAAGAAAAAGTTAAATACAGTTTAAAAATCAAAGGTTCATGTTGTCTGTCTGTCTCCCTCAGGTATACAGGACACAAGATGAAGGGCTACAAGCTGGACTGCTGTCTCTCCGGGAAAGATACTCACGTGCTCAGCTGCTCAGAGGACGGACACGTGTACTGCTGGGACCTGGTGGAGGTACGCTTTCATTAAGCCTCATTTTATAGGATGGGTTTCCTTTAGCACTTTACACAACCTAACTTACAAACAGTTGGCTTTAAAATGTGTTATTTCAAGACATTTTTCACAAATAAGTCTGTGGATGATCTTGATTTCACAATTAAGGCGTTGTTGAGTTTTTTAAATGTTTTTTTTGTTGCCCCTTTGACAACAAGCCGAGTGCCATTTACTTCTATTATATTGGAGAGAAGGTAGACCTAGTACTATAGTTGGAAGAAGGGTGAACTCTCCCTTTTAAGTTGACAAAAAAATAGCTAGTTGGCTATTAGTGCACATTTTTATCTTTCAGGGATCCAAAATGAGACATTTATCCACCAGATTTTAGATAAATGACGCATGTACAGCTGGGACCTGGTGGAGGTACGCTTTCATTCATCCTCATAGTGCATTTTATAGAATGGGTTACCTTTAGCATTTTACACAACCTTAACTTATAAACAGTAGGGTTTAAGAATAGTTATTTTAAGAAATGTTTCACAAAGAGGTCTGTGGGTGATCTTGACCAGGTCATGATTTCACAATAAAAACTTTGCTGAGTTTTTTTAAATATGTGGTTTTTGCCACTTTGACAACAAGCCAAGTGCCATTTACTTCTATTATAGTGGAGAGACGGAAGACCTAGCACAAAAGTATAGTAAGAAAAGTATGTCTTTTGATTTTGGGGTAAACTCTCCCTCTTAAAGGTGGGGTAGGTACATTTGAGAAACCGGCTCGAGATACACTTGTTGTTATATTCCATGGAATGCTCTTAACATCCCGATAGCAATGAATATCTGAAGTGCTTTGACAAAAAATCCATCAAAATGTCATCTGTGGAAGCCGTAGTACTGTAAAAAGCACGACCAATCTTCTGAGCCGGCCCGGCTAAAATAACTGGATGGCCTACCTGCCTGTCAGCCTTCCATCTGTGCACAAACTTATCTCGTGCCCTCATTGGTCATGTGCGAGTTCGTGTGTGTTGGAGGAGGGGCTCTGTAAGGAAGTCTGAAGGAAGTGGCAGATTTTTTCCGGCTGTGTATTTTCAAATTCTAGCGCACTCGAGCTGGTTTCTCCAAAATTACCTACCACACCTTTAAGTTAACAAAAAAATAGCTAGTTGGCCTGTAGTGCAAATCCTTATATTTTGACTCCAAAATGAGACATTTATCCACCAGATTTTAGATAAATCATGTCTAACCTTATGTTAGAAATAGTCATTGAAAGTGTTCTGAAAGCATGTGTTGTGTTTCTTCCTGCAGGGATCTCTGACCCTGAAGCTTCCTGTGGGGAAAGCTGTCGTCCAATCACTGTCCTTCCACCCCACAGAGACCCGCCTCCTCACCGCCATGGAGGGGCGTGTCCAGGTGTGGGCGGCGGAGCCTGAGGAGGAGGAGGAGGAGGAGGCCATGGCCACGTAGAGGGAGGAAATATGAGTTTGCATCGTGAGACGATTGTATTTTCTATCATAACAATTAAATACTCAACTTTCAACACCATCGACCTCATGGATAAAAACCTCTTACTTCCATGTTTAGTTTTTGAGTCACAAGGCGTCGTTGGAAAGAAATAAGAATATTCAGAAAATATAAATCTGAAGTCTCAAAAGCAGTGTTTGTAACCTTGTAATTGGCTTAAACATTGTCATTTATTTTCCAAGAAGTGAGTTATTTAAATCTACTTGATTCAGATAACTTCAGATATCTAGATGATCTTATTGGTTAATTTCTTCATTAAAATCTAATCCTCCTAAGATGGAAGCTATTGCTAAACATACTTTAATACAGATACTACAAAGTAAAAACAACTTTTTGGAGGCTTTGGTTCACAAATGTACAGAAAACATGACCTGGATTTGGAGTGAGTGGATGATAGTTATTTGAACACGACTTTGATTTTTGTATGTGTGCAAAACTTCTATTTTTGTACAAAGCGTTAAATAAACCAGTTTTTTTCTGAGTACACATCATGTCATTTCTCTCTTTATACTAATCATACTAACACCAACACTGTTCTGTACAAATGTGTCTTTATTAGGAACTGAACACACTATGAACATATTACAAAATAAGTTAATCAGCACGACATAAGAATGGCAACAAATAAATAAATAACTTATCTTACATAAATACATTTTTTTTAAAAAGTTGTTTACGAATCAGTCTGAATTTTAAAGAACTTCACTCAGCTGTGTTTGTTTGTTGTTTGTACGCAGCTTCGTACATTGAATCCATTGTCTAATAACCCCACAATTGCACTTAAGAATTAAAATAAATACAGCTTATTTACAGAAACAATCAAGTAGCTTGTAGTTGAATAATGTCTCGTTTCAGTTTCACCTTTTTGTCAGAAGACTAGGTATCGTAATAAGGCAGCTTGCATTTGCCGGGCTCTTTTCTAATACCTTATTATATATTTATTGCCAACGTCAGATGAGAAAAACTCCCTTTACTCTGCAAACTGTTCATGAACTAAAATAAGAGCCATATTTTCTGCTATGGGAGTACTTCTTTAAAGCCTGCAACCGCCAAAGGTCGTAAACTTCTAATCCCGTTGAGGCCCGTTAGATCACCAGCTGAAGTCAAAACACTTAAATCAACAACCCTGGATTCATGAGGTCTCACCTACAAGTGAGAGGGGAAATAGCTTAGATGTTTGCTCATTCATTTTGACATAAATAAGCTCCCACGAACAGGTTTCAGCTGTCATTTAGGGATACAACTCATCATTTACAGACACTATGATACAAACGCATCCTCACAAATTGTCCCAATGCATCCCTTTCCCCTCGTTTGAATCATCAAATAGCTTGATAGGAGACCTTTAAATGACTAGGAATAGGAATAAAACTCATCATTTACAGACACTATGATACAAACGTATCCTCACAAATTGTCCCAATACATCCCTTTTTCCCCGTTTAAATGACCCACGCTCAGCCCACGCAGCTGCAGCCGGCGGCCGACAACTTCTCCACCTTGTGCCAGCGGTGGGAGTTATCGAGGAAGGCGATGTCCTCGTGCAGCGTGGGCCGGCAGCAGGGCGTGTGGTGGTGCTCCCTCACTTCTCCGGGCAGCACGCCGCTCTGCAGCAGGTTGCTGAGCGTCAGGTCGTGGTTGTTGCGAGCGTGAGGGCACGTCCCGCTGCAGTACTTGAAGAGGACCGTCTCGTCCGAGTCGTAGCCGAGGCCCAGGTGCCGGACCTGAATCAGTACGGAGCGCAGGCCGCACGGTGAGGCCAGGGCGGAGCGGCGAGACCGGGCCGGGACGAGGGGAGCGGGGGAGGGTTCAGAGGCTAAGAGTCCAGAAGCTCCAAGTTCAGAAGCTCCGAGTCCAGATGCTCCGAGTCCAGAAGCTCCAAGTTCAGATGCTCCGAGTCCAGAAGCTTCAAGTTCAGATGCTCTGAATGCAAAAGCTTCTGCAGATTCATCCCCGTTGTGTGAAGAAGATGCTGTTTCTTGTTTGTGATCTGGAAAAGGAAGAAAGTGTCAAATCCTATGTACAGAATTCAATCAATCAAACACATTTTGTTCATATGGCGTAATCAGGGCCGCCCCTCACTACACGCAGAACACACAGAGTGCATAGGGCCTCATCTTATGCGCAAATGCGGCGCAATAATAGGCGCCACAATTTCCCCGCAGCGAGGCTCCGGCACTAACAGTTCACGAGCGTGCTCTACCCCCCCTCAGCGGTCGCGACACGTGAGTGACGAGTTGTGTACAGACCCGGGGGGCCTCATAACACAATCTCACGTAGGGTCCCAAGTTGGCCAGGGGCAGCCATGGGCGTAATATCACAAATTACACATTTGTCTCAGGGGGCTTTACACTGTACAGCATACTGTCTTTGGACCCTCACAGCAACGGGTAAAAACCCCACAATTTAGAGAGAAACAAAAAAGGACATATTCTGCTCATCTTCACCCTCTGTCTGAAACCAGAGCCCAGTCTGCTCTGATTGGTTAGCTGGCCGCCTCTGTTGTGATTGGTCAACCTCTTAGAGATGTCCTGCCCCTTAGCCTATCACGTACAATGTGTTGGAGCACTAGCCAATATAAGCGAGAGTGTTACATAGTGATGTCACTATGTTCAAGTAAACAAAGGAGTCCAATGGAGGCATTTCAGGGGTGAGTGGGAGAGAAACCCCCTCTGAAGGAACACAGGGATTTTAGCCTTTGCAGACCATTTACATGCACACAAACCCATAGAACACATTATAGGGAAGGGGAAACGGACAAAGGTGCAGTAGATGTTTTTATATTTGAAATATAACAAAATACAAAATAGACAATCCAAATGACAAAAAGGTTGAATTCCCTGGTAGAAAATATATGAAAAAGCAAACAACATCAAGCTCAGATGCGGGTAATTTACACTCAGAATCACTTCTTAAGATGCGAAAAAGTCAAAAAGTATATATTATTTCCATAAGCCATATTTAACACATTACCGGTACTCTCAAAGCAAGATTTTAGTCAAACGGTCACAGGTCGCGAGCCTCCCAAAAAGCAGAATAGGGCCTCTTTAAAAAAGCACAGACAGACGTGCAAAAGATGTGTATCGATAAAGTTACAACATAGACAATCCAAATGACAAAAAGTTAAATTCTCTGTTAGAAAATGAATGAAACAGTAAACAATATCAAGCTCAGATGCGAGTATTTTACAATCAGAACAACTTCTCAAGGAGCCGAAAAAGTCTACATTTGTGTCTAGAAGCCATATTTTAGCCAAACGGTCACAGGTCACGACCCTCCCTTCAGAATCAGAATACCTTTATTAGTCCCACAGAGGGGACATTTACATTGAGCCAAAGACAGCTTAATGTTACCTAAGTAGCATGCATTAAAATAAAAAACTAAATTATAATAAAACACAATTGACAAAAAATAACCCACCCAGGACTCACCAATCAACGATGGCAGAAAGTGGCCCTCGCCCCTCTGGACGTAAAACAGAACCAGGATCAGCTTCAACAGGACCCTCATGGCTGGAGTCTGCTCTCCGTCCGCTCAGTCAAACAGACACGTGTGTGTATGTGCGTGTGTGTGTGTGTGTGTGTGTGTGTGTGCGTTTGTCAGCGAATGTCTGCGTGATGATGCTTAAGATGCAGACGACCTCCAATATATAGCCCTGGGAGATGAAGGGGGGTTGAAGGGATGATGAGGAGGTGAGAAAGGGGGGAGACAGACGTTAACCCGTCCCACCTTAACCTGACAGGAGCGGGCGCTTTACCCAGAATCCATCCTGTTCAGATTATCTAATTGGTGTAAATCAACGGTTTATTGTCGACTTTCCCCCCAGATGTTTTTCCAGAGGCCCAGGTGATGGTGGATTTGTGGATTTTCTGAAGTTTTGGGGCTTCTTAAAAGCTCCTAAGGAGTGGATAATGGTGTCTCATCGATGATGCTAAATGATAAATGAGTCAGTAGGGTTGGGAAAATACATTTTGTTACGATTACTAATTTCCTGTAAATATAATCGGCAACCTAATCTGAGTACACACCAAGATATTTAGGATCAAAAATGATTGTATTAATAGGAAAATCTGCCTTTCATTAAGGATTGCCACTTTTGGATAACCTCAATATCAAAAGCATTTCAAACAAATATAATAATAAGAGAAAATAAATATCAATAAGATACTTTTTAGTTATGTGTATTATATAAAACAACAGAACAATGTGACCTTAGACATGAAGAAACCAAGATATTTAGGATCGATTTATAGGAAAACCTGCCTTTTAGTGAGCATATTCAGCCTATAGACAAACAATGAAACACATGAGCACATACTACAGTTTAACAACGAATAAATTAAATCTGAGCCGACAGAAAATGCTCCGTTTTAGTTCAACACACACAGTTAAGATCACACACACTATGTTATGAACATATAGGTTCACCTGCTGAATTGAAAACAGAACAAATGAATCAAAGAAAGTGAAAACCATAAAGCAGATTCAGGCAGTAGGCGTATAGATTCACACTTGAAGTATCAGAGAACAGAACAGTACAGATTACAGAGGAGATATCTGATCCACTCAGAACTTTTATAAAAAGTGAGAATTCGGAAAATAAATTGAAATGTGGAAAAAAGTCATAATCTTTTCAAAAGTGAGATTTTTTTCAAATGTTAAAAGTGAGATTTCTGAAAAAAAGTTAGAATTATGAAAAAAGTCAAAAGGAATTTGACAAATAAAATCGACATTTTGGAAAATAAGGCAGAATTTTGAGAAAAAAGGGAGAATTTGGTAAAAAAATCAAAAGTAAAAAGGGATTCTGATCATTTTTTAAAGAAGATGATTAGGGACACGTGTAACAAATTAAAATTCTCAAAAAGCAGATTCCGGCAGTAGACGCATAGATTCACACTTAAAGTATTACGGTAACACACGGTTCCGTCGCGGCGAAGCTTGCCGGTGGGCGTGTCTGGTGCGCGACCAACAACCAATCACATTAATCTCCCGTCCAGGACACACAAGCACGCGGTTTGATTGGCTAGCGCTTGTACTGGCATATGATTTGATTGGCTGGCGCTTGTACTGGCATATGATTTGATTGGCTAGCGCTTGTACTGGCATATGATTTGATTGGCTAGCGCTTGTACTGGCATATGATTTGATTGGCTAGCGCTTGTACTGGCATATGATTTGATTGGCTAGCGCTTGTACTGGCATATGATTTGATTGGCTGGCGCTTCCGTCGACGCTTGAAAAGTTGAACTTTTCTCAACTTTCAGCGCGAGCGACGGAGGCAGAGCGACGCGACGGAACCACAATGCAGTTCGGCAAAGCGTGACGTCACCCCGTTCAAAGTGAATGGGAAGCGTCTCCGTTGAAGCACGTGACGGAACCGTGTGGACGTGCCGTTAGACTACAGAAAAGTTTACAGCTTACAGAGAAAAAATAACATCTGATCCTTTTACAACAAACACTATATGCTCTTTTTTAACCCTGCTAGTTTTAGAAACGTAACAGTAATCTGATCACTTTTGTTTTGATGAAACTGCCCAACCTGATTACGTTATCCTCTCACTTGTAATCCATTATTCCCCGATCCTATGAGTCAGTAGAAAGGCAGCCAGACAGATATGAAGGAGATCCAGGACATTCATAGACAGAACTTTGATCAAATAAGCAGGAAATGATCCATGTAGGAAATGTAAAAGAACGATGAGTCATCGAGGAATGTCTTAAAATAGTCGCCATCCAGCTTTTTCTTATCCTAATGTCCGAGGATGGATAAAAGAAGAGCCAAAATGTGAATTATGTAAACGGTTAAACAGCAGAAAACGAAAGGCAGAGTTATAATTAGAACTACCAGGGCCTGTTTCTGCAGACATTCCTCAATGGGTGACTCTTTGCTCCATAAATCGAGGGATTTCATCAGCAATGTGTGGCTGACATGTAGGATATGTAGGATATGTAGAATATGTAGAATATGCATTATGTAACGCTCACAGGGCCCGAACAGGCAGCGAATGGAATTTGGAGTTTGCATGAAAGTGCATATTTGGACGCTGTTTTCTGTTGCAGGTCAAACACATCAGTGCACAACTGATAACACTGAAAACATGAACTCAACCCAAATGAATGCGATCAGTCGTTTCCTGCCCTACTCTTTATCTGACTGTAGTTCTGTTAGGCCAGTGGTCTTGGTTTCATTATTACCATCATTATGTATTAATTATACAGCTTCTTATTACTCATTTACCAATATACTGTAATATAAACAATATGTATTGTACTAAAAGGTGCACATTCATACTTTATTTGATTTCCTTTCACTCTAAACTTTTATGTTTGGATAAATATCTTTATTTTATCTTTTTGTTGCACATTCTTATTTTAGCCTCATATCTAATCTTAGTCTGGTTTAGTCTAAACACTAAATCCTGCTGAGGCTGAGAGGAAAGAAATTACTTTTTCAGGTATTTTATTAGTAACTAAAGTATTGAACAAATCAGATTGGGGGGGTGGTATATTTTTTTAAATCCTCTGGAGCTGTGGATTATTGTTATTGATTACTGCATCAGTGTTTCTTAGGGTCACAAACACTAAACTCACAATTTAAAATGAAAGTGTTTAGTTTATTTAATAAAAGAGCACATGTTCAATGTGAAAAGTGACCGTAGATAGATTACTTCAGTTGCAATTTGATGCTATATATATATACAAAAAAAAGACAATGGTAGGGGAAACACTGCCCAATTTCTCTGGTATAAATGAAGTAATTTGATTCCGATTCAGTATAATCTTAGTTTAGTGTGTTAGCATGCAACCACTAAACACTAAATCCTGCTGAGGCTGAGAGGAATAACATTAGTTTTTCAGGTACTTTATTAGTAACTAAAGTATTGAACTTATCTGATTCTTTTTGGATGACTTTGCAGGCGAGTCAGATCGTTACCAAAAGATGTCAAAATTCAACCTGAACATGAAGGCAGTTATAATCTTAGTTTAGAGCAGGGGTCTCAAACTCAAGGCCCGGGGGCCAAATCCGGCCCGCGACTTCATTTTATGTGGCCCCACAAGAGCTTGCAAATAATATAATACGTTTATAATACGGTTACATGCTACTTTACAGAAGCACGTTGCCCATAAACTACATGTCCCACAATGCATCTCAAATCTCAAAAAAATCACATTTTTTCTTAGAATTTGCCTTTTTCTCAAAATGGCTTTTCTTTTTAAATCATTTTGTGGCATTCTTACTGAAAAGACTTGCAATTATTTGCCCTATACTTCTGCTTTCAGCCATAGTTAATTATGAAGTTATTACC